TTTACATATTGCATCCCATGCACCTATGCTTCTGTGAATTGTAAGGTAGCTTAACAACAACTTTGATGCTTGAACAACGAATGACATCTCCAAGTCCGGCTTTCATGGCTTACTGCGCCGCCTCCTTACCCCTAGTTAATTAGGGAGCCATGTAAGCAGGCCGCGGATCCGTGGTATTTGAACATCTGTAGTACCAGATGCGTCCGGCATCATTTTGTCCATTAGAGCCACCTCGTGCTCAACACGAAGATATTTCAAGAGCTGATACTCCTCATATGCTAATGCGTAAGCATCAAAAGTTGTTCGTACTCCGAGTATCTGAAATAACGAATGACTTTTCCAAGACCAGGTTTCAACTTCAATATTTGTGTTCTCAGCAATTGTTACATCTATCAGCACAAGAAGTGCAAATTACAAAAAAGGCATTGATGTGACAGTTTCTGTCTCAAGCACTAAATTAATTTTGTAGCTTCCTAGTCGTCCTCTCCGAAATTCATGGTGGTCGCTTTCTGTACGATGTTACTACTCGTCTGTTGCATAGCATGACCGCTGTGGCATCGATCAGGTGCTCTATGAGACGATCTGTTGTCTGTTGTTCTCATTGTTGTTTTATGTAGTCAGAGCTTGAGCAGAACGATTTTCTGGTCTACAGGCCTCTTACCGGCGTGAAGTGATATCTGAGGTTCACTGTGAAACTCATGTTTCACCTCAAGAGTAGCCTCTTCTCTTTGGATGCTTCGAAGACTGACATTACCTTCCGTTCTCTTTCTCTGGCCGGAATATCAGGATGCCAGATGTTGGTCAATACAGAACCTTGAAATGACAGTCATGTAACTAACTTTTCAAGTGTTTGTTCTTGATCTACGGTATGAGGTACAAACACGTGTATTGTTAATTTGTCTAATGCATTGCATAGTGAGGAGAGTTTAATTATTAAACGGTCACAATCAAGAACAACCTGAAGAGCAGTTTATTAGGTAGACATTTATCCTTTAATTGTATCTGACATGCTAAAGTAGCATTAGTCTTTTGCCTACTGAAAAGCAGCATATAGCGGTTTAATTTTACGTAAGGCATTACTGGCGTGTGCGGTCCGTATCTTGCGAGTTTCTTCAAGGAAAGGCGGTTGATGTTCGATTGTTGTCGTGTATGTTTCTTGAATGCGCATGTTCCTTGAAGCCGAAGTATTTCTGAATATCATATATGAAATACTACTTAATTTATAATTATGATATAGTCAGGGAGGTAGATTCTTTTATGCAGGAATTTACTTAAGCACTCGAAAAGTACTTTGCAGGATTATTCCTCATACAAAATTTTTTACGCACAAACTCTTCAACGTTTCGGATCATGCTCGATTCGTCTTAAGTGAGCGATATATTACAGATATGGTTTGCTGCTCCTTCATGACAGATCGAACTTGATCCGGAACGTTGGAGAACTTGTCTATAATAAATTTTATATGCTGAGAATTCCCGTAAAGTACTTGTCGAGTGCTGAATTTGGATATAATAATCCGTTTAAAAATAAATGTTAATTTGTGTAGGGAAGCGTAAACGATAGGGCCACAGAATTAATTTATCTAAGCGATTTCGATGTTTCGCCTTGTCCTACGTTTGTCTTCGCGGTATCACGTACGCCATATATGGTCTGTTTTAGAAATAGTTTCACTGAGTTACAAAGAAAAGCACCCGCGATTTCCATCCAAACTTAAGGATGATGAAGAAGGTCATTCCGAAGGCGAACTCAGTGAAAAGGTAATTTTCGTATAACAGCTGTCGGTTACTGATAGTGAGTGTACATAGTATAACATTTTTACGCGTCGACATGCTGAGTATCGCAGGTTAACGTCCACGTTATCGAATTATAATGTCGTTCTCTGCGAGCACTGGTTTATGAAACATCTAGCTTTTTAACAGATTACTAAAAAGTTTACCGAATTTGATTAGACAGTTACAATCTTTGTATAAAATTTCCTGCGTGGAAATAATAGACATTGCATTGATCAAAAGTTCTTAAGAGACTTCGATATTTATGGTAAGATCTCATACAATGAAGTAGTTCCTACATCATATTAGAAAAACTTTTCTGTCTGCCCTTTTCTCATGACGGCTAATGGTTGTGCCTAGAACTGTCTGTGCAGTATGATAGGCGGTTTACAGCATGGGATAGTCCAATATTTTCAAAGTTGATCTGTCCTGAGCTTCTTCAGTTAGTGACATTTGCTCTACTGTAAGCTGTTCAGTAATACGCTGGGAGGATGAACGTCGTTTGCTGTGTTTGACGGAGAAGTTTGCGCAGGAAAATTTTACCCAGTGTCTGTCGATTTTTCTTGTCATCATTCCTGATCCGAAAGTCTGGCTGATGGTCCGACTGTACCCAAAGACCAAGTTTCTAATACACAGGAATATGGACATGACTTTACACGAAATTGACTTTCGATTACGGTATACACAGCGGTATTTCAAGCGATATCCACTAGTCTTCTACTGTATCAAAGAGAATACTTAATTTTTTATGTGAGTGGAATGTGTTTCTTCTCCAAATTCTTCAAAGATCCAAATGTAAATTGTATTAAAAAAATTCTCGACGCTTTTAATCGAACTAATGAACTTTTATCCAATCTTCAGGGGATATTATGTAACAATAAGTGCCAAACATTGCTGATGTTGTTTTCACACATTTTTATACGATGCCCCTTAAAGTTTGATGTAGCTCGTTCTGAAATGTCGTAATATGTTTAATCAAATTTCTATGTGGAATAAACCCTTCCAAGATTTTGATGATGAAGCCTTATACAGATCTTAATGCACTGTTTTGTATTAAACTCTGAATGACGTTTACATTTATATGACACGTTAAGGCCCAGCATCAAGTTGGCTATCATAGTAAGCCACCCACTAACTGGGCTAGCACTGGCATGCTGTATTCCTCAGACTTTGCTGATTTTCAACTTCGAAACAAGGCCCTCTCCATTGTCCATCTGAGCTGGTAGCCCGACACTTTTATTGCACGGTTGAACCATTTCTGTGTTAATGCTGTTAGGCAGCCAGGGGCACCGTTGTGTTACTTTGAAGCACTGATATAGCATTTTGCAGAATATTATCATCTTCATCTTCCATGGCCGCTTCTCCTTTTGGGTCGCGGAGGCAGACGCGTCAGACAGAGCTTCCAACATTCCCGATCCTGTGCCGGAGTCTGAGCTTCGGCAGAAGACAACTGGAGTCTGGAGCAGACACCTTCCATGTATTTGCACCAGGTTAATCTTTGCCGTCCCCTGGACCTTCTGTCTGTCAGTTTCGCAAGAAACAGCTGCTTAGCTCCTTGCAGTTCCTTTCTAGAGGAATTTGCAACACACCCCCAAACCATCGCAGCTGTGACTTATCACTCTCGAGACCCAAAGGCTGTACACCAAGGCTCTCCCGGATGTAAGTATTCCGGACCACGTCGAGACGCCTAAGGCCAGCGACTCGCCAAGAAAGCCCATTTCAGTAGCTTGTACCCGGGTTCGAAGCTTTTCAGTCATCGTCCACGACTCATGACCGTAGATAATCATGGGGTTGAGATCGACTTGAAAACCGAGAGCTTTATTTTCAAACTGAGCTCTGCTTTAGTCACAATGGGTCGGGCTAGTTCACGCAGAACGCCACTGGCTACTCCAGTTCGCTG